TGATGGTGCAGAGTCCCCATACACAGAATCCAACTCATGTTTAATTTGTGTCGGCGTATTGCCTTTCAAAACCAGATATTTAATGACAGCTCGATACTCGACTTTGTCCATTTTCACAAAAACACTGACATTAACTCACTCAAACGACTGTTACATAACAACTGCAAATCCAAAATGGCTGAAACTTTGGTGAATAACTGTCAACAGATGAACAATGAAAATTCACTAGCTTTTATCTACGAGTGCTGCCATCTTCACGTTGAGGTCGGAAACTTTTCAGACCATCCTCGTATTTTATTTACAACCACATAATAAATTAAAAAATAGGGACAGTATTTTATTTTGAAAAAAAATAAATATGCGAAAATTTGTCGTTTTCTGTTTTGGCATTTCCATATCTATAGTTACCGGTACCAGTGGTTGTTATGGCGCAAACCTTCAACAGCAAAACAAAGAACTAAGTGACAGTTCTGAATTTCTCGTTCGCTTTTTGGAGTTTATATAACATAGAAAGACAGAATGTTGTCGGAAAGTTCTGATAATTAAGACTACTTTAATATTGGTACTCCACCAGAAGTTACAGAAGCTGCAAAAAGAGCAGACGCCAGTTTACTTCCAGAGAAAAGTAGGAGGCGATATGAAATAGCATTGAAAGTATACGAAAAATAGTATGCCGAAAGAAATGCTAAGAATATTGCTTCGGAGACAGTCTTGATGGCATATTTTAGCGACATGGCAAGGCAGAAAAAGCTATCTACTCTTTGGGCTACGTACAGCATGATACGGACTAATGCAAGAATTAAGGGAAAAGACTGACGTATCAAAATATCACAAACTTGTCGCTTTTTTAAAACGCCAGAATGTAGGTTTTAAGCCAAAGAAGTCTAGCATTTTTACTAGGCAAAACTTTTCAACAAATAAATGTATTAAAATCTTCAATTATTATTGTTAATCTTCTTGTTTATTTTTATTGATGTTAGCTAAGTATTTAATAAAGATATTACAATAATAGTTTGCTTAATTAAATGAGGTGAGAAATAATAAAAACCGAGTGAGGGAAATGGAAGAGGGAAGAAATTATGGGAAGAAATGTAGATACTTAATTTGACACTTTCAAATTTTTTAAAAGTCAGTAATGTCAGTATTACATATGTGGTTGTAAATAAAAATAATTTTTATTTCAAAGTTTAATTTTAATATTATTTTTGTTGCGATTTCCATCAATAAAAAACAATATTTCGTTAGATATTTCATCATCTGATTGGCTTGCAACAAAGTTCTTAATTGGTTTCATCACATAATACATTTAGTTTTTTTACGAAACAAAAAAATGTATTTAGTTTGGTACTGTTGATTTTGATATACTCGTATGTAATTACGTACCTTTTATTAGGCTAGGTAAATAATTTACAATTCGTCTCGACACCTGTACCTCAGACCTGCCTATACCGGGTGCGTCTCAAAAGTGGCTCACCCCCTATAACTTTTTTATTTTCTCAGATAAAAAACGAGATTTGGTATGTTAGTAATATGATATAAATTAGGATTGATTGGCGTATTCAATTCTTTTCGGTCACTTCCTGTTTCACAGGAAATGATTACGACTATTGATTTTTAAATGATTCCATTGGTAGTTTTTTACTTTATTCGATCGAAATTTACAATCTGAATAGAATGACATATCTTATGTAAACTTTTGACATTTTCGATTAAGACTAAATTGTATTTTAAATTCCAATCTAGAGTGCTATGACTGCTATTTACCTCTTGCTTACACATAGTTTTTAATCAAGGAGCCTTGGTGTCTTGTCCTGACCGGTTAAAAGATGCCCAAATCGTATATTGAATCCTATCTCAGTTTTTTCAAATGAAATGAAGGTTGTTCTATAGCATATTTAGAAAAAGTATTTTTTACGAATAATTTGGTACCACACACTTGGTATTTCGAGTCAAATTGTCGTTATGAATCACATGTAGCAATTTCAAAATAAACCATATTCGAAAATGTCAAAAGTTGATGACACTCTATTCAGAGTGTCATTTTCTATCGAATAAAGTAACAAAATACCGAGGGTGCCATTAAAAAATCAAAAGTTTCAGTTATTTGCGGTGAAACTGTAATACGAAAAAAAATCATATCAGTAACAGAGACTGCATTTCATATAATATAATGTATTATACGATATCTTTTACAATGAAGTTTAACTATGTATTTAATTAAGCTTAATCATTTAGTTTAACGAGCTGAAATATGACATTAGAAATTATGGTAAATAACAAACTGAATAGAGAACATTTTAATGTAATCCAATGAGAATGTTTATCTGTTATCGGTCAATGTGCGCTTGGTCGTTAAGCTGTCTGTTTCTATTGAATATACCGTGTGCGTCTCAAAAGTGGCTTACACCTATTACTCTTTTATTTTTTTAGAAAAAAAACGACATTTGGTATGTTAGTATATGACATAAATTAGGATTGATTGACGTATTAAATTGTTTTCGGTCCCCAAAATGGCACCCTCCTTTACTTTATTCAATAGAAAATGACAGTCTGAATGGTATGACATAACACATGCCAACTTTTGTATTCTCGCTTAAAAGATCGTATTTTAAATTTCAATCTAGAGAGCCAGGGATATGCACTAACAACATTTATTTTTAATCAAGGAGCCTTGGAAAAATATATCTGATAGTGTAATGATTTCCGTGTCTTGTACTGGCCGGTACATCCTGGGCGACTCTGGTTCTTGGCTGCAAATTGGGGCTTTAGGCTCCCATTTGCTCCTTTTATTTTCTCCATCCAAAACACAAAAAAACCACGAAGCAAACGATGCAACGAGGCACCGTGTGCAACCCAGGAGATGGAGAAAAAAGTACTGATGAAGAAACGAAAATAAATGATGGAAAATAAAAGGAGCAAACGGGAGCCTAAAGCCCCAATTTGCAGCCAAGAACCAGAGTCGCCCAGGATTGCGGGCTTCGTCCAGAACAGCCGCGGAGGTAGCCAACAGCAACCCGCCGCAATACCCTTAACCGAGGTCAAAACAAAATAAAAATTGAAATAGCGAGGGGAATATATAAAAACAGAAGGAAAAAATTTAGTCGGCAAGCCCTCAACAACTCGTAACCGTATAGACCAGTGTACACCAGTGCAGACACGCACACTCACACACTCACACAACTACACCTACACTAGTGTACACTGATGTTACTGCCTTCAGGCTTCATCAGTACGGTAAGGCATCAGGAAGCGATGAAATCGATCCCAAAACACAAAAAAACCAGGAAGCAAACGATGCAACGAGGCACCGTGTGCAACCCAGGAGCTGGAGAAAAAAATACTGATGAAGAAACGAAAATAATGGGATTAATCTTATAAAAATACAGTTACTGTACTATACAGATGATACAACTAAATGTTGCCTTCCCAGTTTCAATCGCCAGCCATCTCTGTCGTACACGAGATCTTCTTCGATATTCCGATCTCTCATCACCTGTCGTATTTCATCGTTCCAGGAGCGACGCGGGCGGCATATTCGTAATTCGCCGACACATTAGCCGCTCGGATTAGGTCGGGTACAGCGATGGACGGTTGCTAAAGTACCGACGTATTAGACTAATTCCAACCCTTATACGTCGGTGATTTACGAAAACGAAATACTGTTGTCTGCATATTGCATTACAGTATAGGTTATGGTAAATCGAGAACTGTTAGAAAATTATACGAAACAGACTTGAACAGAAATTTTCTTTAATACTAAAATTAAACTTTACGGTGGCGGTGTAAGCAATATGATTTTCAAAAAATTTATGAAGCAATTTTTAATTTGTCATTTTTAATATAAAATTCTAACTAAAATTTTGTTAACTTAAAAAAAAATACTTTCTGTTAGATAAATATTAATGGTGAAATGATGGTGGATTACTCTGTTTATAGAAATTAATAAGCAACTTAAGTCTAAGAAAAACATATTAGCAAAAAAATATATAATAGAAAAAAATTAAGACATATTTTTATTTTTTGGATTTATTACCTTCCAATCCCATATTTTTTTAATTTTGTGTCTGGAAGAAATTGTTTGATAGTTACTAATGATTTTACTGGACAGTCTATATTTCGTGAAGTTTTTTTGCGGCTCGCTTCCCTATTTTTCTTTTGTTTGCCATCAAAATGGTAGTGATAAAACCTCCTAAATGCTTATTAGACGTAGTCTCAGAAAATGTTTTTGAAACTCTATCAAAAATTTCTCTTCTAACATTTACCAAGGCAGTTATCCGTTCTATAATTAAATAAAAATAAACTAAAATTTACTCGCTAAGCAGTTTTAAGCTTCCATGCCGATAATAGAATGATTGGAGCCTTAATAAAGAGTAAGTTAAGTTTTAAGACTTATCGCAAGTACCGTATGATCGAAAAAAACAGCGTCTAGTTGGTTTGGAAACGACGATCATTGACATTCCTTATATAATTTTACATACAAAATGACAGCTATCTTTATTTCCATGCCAGCTCTGACGCAATTTTTTTCAATCGTATGGTTTGGAAATGAAAGCGCATAAGACTTTTGCGTAGTACAAAAGCTATTACTATTTATTTTATATTAATGATACATTAATAACATTACTGTTATTATTTAATATCTCTGCAAAAAGCAGCATCTACTATCTAAAATCTGTTTTTATCAGTAATCTGCAACCTCAGTTTATTGGAGACTATTTATTTATCAGGTACAGCTGGTAATGTCTTAAAATCCCCATGTTTTTAAATTATCAATCTGCTCGAAATGTGCTAATCACTGGAAAACAATGAAAACCAATACAATAATCATGATTGATCATAAAAAATTACGAATACTCATTATAGATGCAGATCAAATTAATCCGATTTACAAACTTCCGAAGAAAGTAACAATATTTTGAGCGCATCGTAAATCGCCGACGTATTAGACTAATACGTCGGCGATTTACGCAGCACCCGAACTATGCCGAGCGGCTAATGTGTCGGCGAATTCCGAATATGTACGCGGGCGTCCCCTTTTGTTTCTTCCAGTGGGTGACCATTTGAATACACGTTTTGGCCATCTTGTGTCCTCCATCCTCATTAGATGACCAAACCATCTTAAACCTCTTTTCTCTATTCGTTGAATTACTGTTTCTTGTGCCGATGTTCTGTTTCTGATTTCCTCGTTTCTCACTCTTTGTAATCTGGACACTCTAGCGCTTCTACGTAAGTAATCCATCTCTACAGCCAATACTCTCCGTTTATCTTCTTCTCTTAGGGCCCATATCTCACTCCCATAGCATAAGACCGATTCTACTTGTTTGGCCAATATGTTTTTTATTCTTTATATTAACATGTTTGTCCTACCAGATTGAGTTGAGTGCCCCTACCACTCTCCTCGCGTTCTGAATTCTCTGTCGTATCTCTGTCCCACCGATTCCATTTTTATCAACTATAGCTCCTACATATTTGAATGTGTCTACCTGTTGTATTTCTGCCTTGTCGTCAATTAGAATATCAAATTTGGCGTCGGAATTTAATACCAAGTATTCTGTTTTTTTCTAAACTGACTTCTAGACCCCATTCCTGATACTCAGTATATAGTCTCCTGAGCATAAACTCCATGTCAAAGGAATCTTGAGCGAATACTGCTTGATCGTCTGCAAAATTAAGTGTCAGAAGATGTTCCTCATTAATTGGAATACCCATTCCTTGACATGATCTCTTCCACCTCCTAAGATCTATCTCCAGGTAAATATTAAACAAAAGAGGGGATACGCAACAACCTTGTCTCAGACCTTTCGTTGTACATATGGGTTCCGAGAGTATCTTTCCTTATTTTATATAACTGATGTTATCGGTGTACAGTTCTTTGATAACTTCTATAAGATGTTGGCTAACCCCAATAGTTTATAATACCATCCATAGCTTATTTCACGGGACATTATCATATGCTTTCTTTATATCCACAAATGTTATATGTATTTCTTCATATTTTCTTATCTTTTTTTCTGCTATTTGTTGTATGACAAATAAATTGTCAGTACATGACCGACCTGGGGTAAAGCCATTTTTATCTTCGGATATAGAGTTTCCAACATCAGCTCTTATTCTGCTTTGTATAATTCTTCCCCAGAGTCTCGAGAAAGTAGCAGTGACGCACAACCTCCTGTAATTATTTGGATCATTTTTGTTTCCTTTCTTATGCAGAGATGAAATATATCCAGTTTTCCACTCACTCGGTGTCTTTCTCTGTTATAAACAATTATTAAATAAGCCTTTAATTCTCTCATATAATGTTATCCCCCCACACTTGATCATTTCAATTACAATATCTCCGGGTCTGGGTGCTCTTCCTTTTTTCATTTCTTTAACCGCTTCCTCTATTTTTTCCGTTGTAATAGGTGTTGAGTTCTTATGTTCTGTGATATCTCTATATACATTATTCGCGTTGTTCATGAAGTCTTGTCGATTTTCTGTTAATAATTGCGTGTAGTATTCTTTGCAATCCTCTATACTTATAAGAGAAAATGATTTTTCGTTAGTGTTTTTCTTCATATTTTTTATTGTTCTCCATACTTCAGTCGTACGAGCTCCTCCTATGTACGTATTTATTTGATTACATTTCCGCTCCCAGAATTCATTTTTGTCCTTTTTAATTTGTGTTCGCACCTCCTTATTTGCATTTTCACTGGAAAATATTCTTGTCATAAATTTAATTATATCTCAATTTTTTTAAATGAAACGAGGGTGGGTCATTAACATACTTCTTTTGGCATTTTTTTACTTACTAGTTGAAGCCTGGCGCATCCGCGCCACGACATCAGGAAAAAAAATACTTTTTATTTTTTGTTTAATTAAATGAAAAACAAAAAATCCGACGACGACAGTTTTTAGAAGATCCAATTAGCTATCTTTTAGTAAAAAAAGCAACTTTCTAGAGCAAGTCGTTACTTCAGTAGAGACGACAAACATAAACATTAGCATTTTATATATGTCGCTATTACTTCTACACAAAATCAAAAATAAATTAATAAAAACAAATATTCCTTAAAAGGTACCAAACACTTGGTATTTCTAGCCAAATTGTCGTTACATTGATGGTCATGGCAGTCTAAATTAAAATTTAAAACGCTAATATTTTTTAATTCAAAATGTCTAAATTTGACATATGCTATGTCATTCTATTCAGGATGTCATTTTTTATCAAATGAAGTAAAAAAATACCAAGAATGTCATTTAAAAATCAAAAGTTGTCATTTCCGGTGAAACAGGAAGTGACCGAAAAAAGTTGAATACGTCAATCAATCCTAATTTATGTCATATTAGTACATACCAAATCTCGTTTCTTATCTGAAGAAATAAAAATATTATAGGCGTGAGCCACTTTTGAGACGCACCCGGTATATATATTTTCTAATTCTTATTGGATGTTGATATAGTGCACATTATTTATTTTTATAATCATCAGAACAAAGTGCATAATATAAACACATATTATTATGATAAGCTAGATATTGTTTTATATATTATTTAGTACCTACTACCCTTATATTCCAATATAACCATTTCAGTTAGATATTAACTTTTTAAATATAAGCTCCCTAGGCGTTCATACAGAAAATTTGATTTTTAAAAAATCTAAGAAAAATAGTTAAAAAGTAACGGTTTTCTGACTTATATTCTTGATTATTTCTGAAAAATGGTATATAGACGTAAATTTGCAGATATTTTTATCGCTGCTATTGATATTCTAAACTTTTTAAAATATCTCAACCTTACAGTATATCTCCAAATTAACCGAAAATATAATCCGGCCCTGGCGAAATAAACATAACAATTCCACAGCAAGGAAACATGTCGCGTGATAATATCGTCGTTTTCCTCTTTAAATGTTTATCAAACACATCCTAAATGTAAAAAATTTAGCCTATACATATTACTATAAGAACACATGCTCTAAAGTGTATTCTTCACGCTCCGATATGCAGCCTTTGAAATGTGGTGTTATCGCCGCATGCTCAGGATTTCATGCACTTACCATGTCGCAAACAACACCGTGATCCAAAGAATGCAAAAGAAATTGGAAATTATACATAGTGTGAAAGTGGGGAAACTAGCATACCTTGGGCCTGTGATGCGTAAGGAAAAGATAGTAGATGATAGGTTGTTTCTCACTATAATCCATTCCATACCCGTTCCGTATTTTTTATTGTATTGACGCTATACGTAAGCTTCCGTTCCGTATCAGTTCCATACTTTTTAATTGTACAATTTATATCATTACGAAAGTTTTATTTTAAAAATTTGTATCATTTGAAAAAGGTAATAGATTTAATTAAGAGGTGAAAAAATAAATAAATATCAGCGAAATGTGGTGCAAATGTAAGAACTTTACAACGCTGTTTCCGATACGCTTCAGTCCGTCCGTCAAAAAAATGCATGGAAGGAAAGGATATGGAACGGAGGGGAACGGAACGGATAGTGTCGTAACCACCGTAATAACAAGGCCGGACAGCTGTGACGTAAAAATCTCGTGACGTCACCAACTGTAGGCTCAACTCTATTTAGCAGCGTTGATAATTACCCGATAAAAGTTCAAATTGTGGATCTTTTTTCACTCGCCAGATATATTTCGAAGTTTTAAAATGTCTTTTCCGAGTTTTTAAAAATATTATAATATATAAAAATAGTTTTAATAGAATACGGAAAAAATCAATCATACCAGTCAATAAATGTTTATCTCTCACTTTTTATAAATCAAATTTAATAAAGGAATATTTTAAGTTCACAATAATGTATAATATGAGACAAAAACAATAATAAAATAGATAGTTTTTATAGTATATATTATGTATTTTATCGATATATCACGCCCCCTGCTCCGGGGTGACGACGCGGCGTCGCCTGGCGGCGCGGCGCCTGTCGTGGCGCGTAGCGGAGTGGTATTCCCGCAGTTGACAGTCATCGATTTATCGGTAGGTGTGCGGACGTGGTAATTATAATCGATAATAGAAGGGTGAAAAAAATTATAAATCTGTAAAAAGAGGTGTTTAAACTATAAAGTGATTATAAGTGTGTGCAATTATACAATTTAAAAGGTACAATGCCTTATAATGTCTAAATAATAAGATGTGAATATTATATTTAAAGCTATATTTCTTCTGTTTTCTCAAATATATTTATATGTATTTTCTAAAGCTTTTACTTATCTTTTACCTCATCTCAAACCTTTCATATTTGAAAGTTACATAAACTACACCCTCTACATCGATTAACTACATGTAATGTAGTTTATGTAGTTTTTAAGGGTAACATATAGTTTTTCGAACCCTGATAGTAATACTGATCAAATTATTAGTCATGCTTGTTATTTACTAAATTCTTTAAAATGCGATGAAAATAATAAAAAAATTCTTAATTTCTAACTTTTATCTGTGTTCAATATTAAAGTTATTAACTTGAGTTGAGTAACAGGTTGAGCTTGAAGTAATAAAATATTGTTTTAATGAGTAAAATATGAGGTATGTTTTACTAGAGCACTTGCAAACTGATCCTCTTGAAAATAGGTTTGGAAAATATAGACAGTTAGCCGGGAGTCAGTACAGTATTTGTGTTCGACATTTATATGAAGGCGAAAAGAAACTTGAGATTCAGTCATTAATGTCCCTAAAAATAATTTAACATTTTCAGGCAACACTGATATTGAACAAAATTCAATTATAAAAAACCTTACTAAAGGCAGTCTTGGGCTTCCAAAAGATGAAATAACTAATATAGTTTTATTTGAATATATAATTTTTAACAAAGTCTTGCAAAGCCATGAGGAGTTTCTTAAAATTCACAATAAAAAAATATTTTTATCGAAAATATCTTTGGATTACATTAAAAGTAATAACACCATTATTAAAATTTCCGCAATGTACTATTTATAATGCTAAGTTATTGTAAAAATTGTCATAAATTTTATTAGAAATACACGTCTGAAAAACTACTGTTGTTAAAAAATAATGATAGACTGGAAAAAGGAAATAAAAGAAACTTAGACATACCTACAGCTTAAATAAATACAATGACGATGAATAATGCCAAACCAAAACATCAAAACTAAAAACGACAAAACATTGAGTTTTAAGTGAAAATAATATAAAACTATGAAGTTATCAGTCACGACAAAATTAACATGAACACAAGCGAAGAAGAAAAAAAAACATAGATAATAACTTAGAATTTACATCAATAAGCCAACTTAACTAAATTTGAAAAAAGTCTTACATTTTCAATTAAAAATGCAAAAATATCAACGTTTTATTTTTCCTCGTATAATTGACTGATGACAACTTTCATTTTTAATTTAGAAAGTGATATTAAAAGTCAAATAATTTAGCTACAAATTGTTTAAAAATTCATCAAAATCGGTCCACTAGAACACAATACTAGGGTGGTCCGAACTGTATTCCGGAAACTTTAGCAGCATAATCTGCACTTAAAAATAAGTAAAAAAGTTCGTATAAATGTATGTCCGAAATTGCTTAGTTTTGGAGATACAGGGTGTAGAAGTTTCATTTTTATTTCGATTTTTTCCAAATATTTTTTGAAGTAAGTAAGTCAATATTAATAATTAATTCTTAAATTGTTGTTTGTCTTGTATGTATTTAATGTAACACACTTTGCCTTCGTGTATTGTTTTTTTTTCTAACTTTTAGTACTTTTATGAATTCTTATCTGTTTATTATTTACTCTGACCTGCTACAATTATACATTGTATAAACACGTAGTTAATAAAGATTTATTTATTTATTTATTATTTGTTTAACTTTCTCATGTTAAAAAGCTCCTAGTCACCAATTTTCATCCAAATATTTACGTTATTTCAAAAATTATTTGGAAAAAATCGAAATAAAAATGAAACTTCTACACCCTGTATCTCCAAAACTAAGCAATTTCGGACATACATTTATACGAACTTTTTTACTTATTTTTATGTGCAGATTATGCTGCTAAAGTTTCCGGAATACAGTTCGGACCACCCTGTGTATTGTGTTCTAGTGGACCGATTTTGATGAATTTTTAAGCAATTTGTAGCTAAATTATTTGACTTTTAATATCACTTTCTAAATTAAAAATGAAAGTTGTCATCAGTCAATTATACGAGGAAAAATAAAACGTTGATATTTTTGCATTTTTAATTGAAAATGTAAGACTTTAGAAAATGTAAGACTAAACCCTGTATCTCCGAAACTAAGACATTTATACGAACTTTTTTACTTATTTTTATCTGCAGAATATGCGGCCGAAGTTTCCGGAATACAGTTTGGACTACCCTGTATATAAAACTTTAAAATACATAAGTTTGAGCTCGGTTAACAAAGCAGTCATTTACTGAACTTCGCCGAGGATTATTAAAATAAAGACATTATTATAAAAATTTTAAGGTGTTCGTTTTTCGTGCCGGTGAGTGTATATACAGTATGTCCCCGGATTGCCTTTATAAGAGGAAAATCTTTTTTATTATTGACCCTTTGAGAAAAAAGCATTTTTCATAAAAATTTTTGCTTGTTCTAAAATGGTTAATCTCGTTTATACTTTTCCAAATTTCCACACCGTTTTAGAGAAAATTAAGAAAAAAGATTCTTTAAGTTTTGAAAAAGAAAGCATTTTTTTTAAATAATAATAATAAAAAGGTTTTAGGTAAAACTAAAGTGTTTTGGTGTACTGCGGTGAATTAATGTTTTATTTTTTTTATGAATCAATGTTTTAGTTTCCAACCTCCAACTGTAATGAATTTCTTAAGCTTAGGTTGCCTATCCAACACACGGTATTCCAAGCTACTCAAAAAGAAAACTTACTCGGTCTTTTCGGCTTTTCGTACTGGAAATCTTCCCTCAGCTGTTTGTGCTCGTAGAACGGCCGCTCGATCCGAATCTGACCCAGTTCTTCTTCGCGCTTGTCGTGCATCGTCGCGTTTAACACTTAACTTTTAATTGTTAGACACTGGCCGGTCGGCGGCTGCTTATCCGTAAATTAAACTGTGTCCGTACCGAAAAAGTTTGAAAATTCGCGCAGGCTGTGACGTTAAATAGTAGCGCCGACGAGGAAAACGGCGCGCGGTTCCGGAATTAGATCGCACCGCAACAAGTCGGAGATATTTTCGCGGTTATTGTTGCGTGTTAGTGGCGGTGTGGTTAACTATAGTAGCTAAATGCGGATTTCCACCAGACGGACAAAACCGCGACAAGACGGAGACTCGGTCTCTTGAGCAAGTCTGCTTTTTGTACCATTGGAAGAGAAAACTACTAAATGAATTTTTTTTTTGAAAATAACACTGCGATTAATCCAAACGGAAATCAACTTGTCAATTAAGCTGGATTTATAAACTCGGGAGTTGAGGTTCAGTTGCCGTTCAAAATGTTCAACGCTATGAAATGAACGCGCGCATTTATAAAGTCAGTTGGTCGAAAAGTTGGCAGTTCGTTTTACGTTCAACGGAGTTCAAAGATGGTCAATGTTTATGTCGGCAGTTGCGGGCAGTTGGCGACCGCTGGCGACGTTCGGCGAGAGCCAATGAATAAGCGCCTGTCGATCACGTGAAGCACAGTACGCCGTGGCATTGGAAAATGACTCTTATTGTTGTTTCATTATTTCTGTTAATGTAATGTTTATATGTTGCGTAATCGTGGATTACTGTGTTTGGTTTGGTGTGTTTCTGTGTTTGAACTTTAACAAATACCAAAAGTATTTTTAAATCGAAAGAAAAACGTTCGAAATTTTCACAATTCCAAACCTAACCTACAACCGAAACTGACAGTTTATAAATGCAAAAATATTGAACCTCAACTGCCGCGAACATCCAACTGCAACTGAACCTCAACTGAACGCCAACTTCCGAGTTTATAAATCCAGCTTTAAGGTTCAAACATATTTGCCTGACCGACAAAAATGTTATGTTTCAGGAACTACGAGTATACCGTATGCGTCTCAAGAGCGGCTCACCCCTATAACTTTTTTATTTTTTTCAAATAAAAAACGAGATCTGGTATGTTAGTATATGACATAAATTAGAATTTATTGACGTATTCAATTGTTTTCGGTCACTTCCTGTTTCACCGGAAATGACTACAACTTTTAATTTTTAAATAACAGCCTCGGTATTTTGTTACTTTATTCGATATAAAATGATACTCTGAATAGAATGACATATCATATGTCAACTTTTGATATAACTTCTGACATAATTACAGTTTGACTCGAAATACCGTGGTACAAATTATGCTAATAAGCCACCCTAGTTCCATTTGAAAAAACTGAGATATGATTAAAAATACGATTTGGGCATTTTCTAACTGGCCTGGACAAGACACCAGAAACATTAGAGCGAGAAAACTTTTAGCCAACCACGGGAAGACAATAACAATATTAGACGACCAAATCTATTTTTTAAGGCTCCTTGATTAAAATTTAGTGATTGACTCTAGATTGAAATTTAAAACACAATTTTGTTTTAAACGAAAATGTCACAAGTTGACATATGATATGTAATTTTATTCAAAGTGTCATTTTCTATCGAAAATCAAAATTTGTTGTCATTTCCGTTGAAAAAGAAGCGGTCGAAAAGAAATGAATACGTCAATCAATCCTAATTTATGTCATACACAACCATACCAATTTTTTTTATCTGAAAAATTAAAAATGTTATAGAGTTGAGCCACTTATGGGCGCACCCGGTATACTAGGTTCGGCAATAATGCGTCGTGCATCTGTAGCTCCTCTTATAAAATATTAGAAATTATATTCGCGTCCAGTCCGAATGTATTATCTTGATTTTTCTATACGTAGTACCGTCCCTGCGTGCACAATTTTAAAGCTATAAGCTAAATTCCCTCCCGCTACCAGTCTAGGTGACCGCGCCGGCCCTGGCGCGGCGGTCGGTATTCATTCGTCTTTCGTGCACGGTGCAGTGCGGATCGTAGCTCTCCGATTTCTTCGTCGTAGATCGATGAAGCCATTTTGTTTATTCTCTACTCATTTTGGATATTACTATGTAATATACGGTGTTCTACAGCTAGGTAGAACACAAGGAACAATATGTAAGTATTGTATAATATTTATTTTTAGAGAAAAACGAAGTGGACGTAAATAACGGAATATTAGAATTAGATAAAAGAAGAAAACAATAAGAATATTATATATATCGGACTGTTGTACTCTCAGTGAGACAAAGTTCGTACGTGTAAAGAATGTCCTTCTCCTTGTAAGAGGAATTCTCATTTATATAAGGTTCTATATCTCGCAGTCAAGAGAATATTATAAATGCCAAAGTGTTGCATCTCCGAGTGAGTCAAATTTCGTACTTTTAGAGGATGGCCATATGAGAGAGATTCCTTTTATAAGTCAATATTGATATCCCACTATCGAGAGATAAATTACAGGTATCACAGGTAAGTATCTTATAATATTTATTTTCAGGTAATTAAATAATGGAGGGAAATAATTGAAGTGGAAGCAAATCTCTAAATGTAGAAATTAGAGGCAAGGAGGAGACAATGGAAGTAGACAAATGGAGAAAGCAATAAGAATATCGTATATATCGAACTGTTGTGCTCCCAGTGAGACAAAGTTTCCTATTTAGAGAATGCCCTTCTCCTCGTGAAAGGGATTCCTATTATATGAGGTTAGAAATCTGGCTATCAAATAATATTATAAATATCGAACTGTTGTTTTCCCAGTGACGCAAAGTTTCCTATTTATAGAGAATGCCCTTCTCCTCGTGAGGGGGATTCCTATTGTATGAGGTTCTAAATCTCTCTATCAAGAGAATATTATAAATACCGAAGTTGTGCCGAAGTGTTGTATCACCCAGGGAGTCAAATTTCTCATTTTTCGAGAATGGCCGTCTCCGTGTGAGGGATTCCTTTTATAAGTCATTGTTGATATCCCCTATCGAGATATTAATTACACGTATTACCGGTGAGTATCTTATAATACTTATTTTTAGGAAATTAAATAATGAATGGAAATAATTAAAGTAAAAGCAAATTTCGAAATATGGAAATTAGAGGCAAGGAGGAAACAATGGAATTAGACAAAAAGAAAAAATGAGAATAACATATATATATCGAACTGTTGTCCTCTCCGTGAGACAAAGTTTCGTACTTACAGAGAATGCCCTTCTCTTCGTGAGAGGGATTCCTATTATATGAGATTCTAGATCTCGCAATCAACAGAGTACTATAAATGCCGAAGTGTTTTATCTCCCAGCAATGAAATAAGGTATGAAACAAAATTTTGTACTTTTAGAAAATGCCTATCTCTGGAATGGATTTCTTTTTTTATGAGATTTTAGATCTCACTCTCAAGGGAATATTATTTATATATTTAGGTGCCAAATATTTGTATCTCCCAGTGAGACAAAATTTCGTACTTTTAGAGAATGCCCATCTCCGTGTGGGAGGGATTTCTTTTATACGTTATCGATAGCCTTATCGAAAAATTAATTACACGTATTACATGTAAGTCTTTTAGAATATTTATTTTTAGACGAATATTGGATGGAAATAAATAGAAGTACATCCCGAAATGTGGGGATTAGAGGAAAGGAGAAAACAAAGGGATGAGGAATATTGTATAAACACGGACTGTTCTTCTCCCAGTGTTCTTTTCATAGCGAGACAAAGGTTAGTACTTTTAGATAATCCTCTACTCCGTGTGAGAGGGATTCCTTTTTTAAGATATTCCAGAGCTCGCTATCGAGATAATATTATAATAACCGAAGTGTTGTTGTCTCAATGATACAAAATTTTTTAATTTTAGTGAATGCCCTTCTCCGTGTGAAAGGGATTCCTTTATAAATGACGTTCTCGGTCTCGTTATCGTAGAAGTAGATTTCACAAAAGAATTTCAAGTGATAAATCTAAAAATTTTAGACCCTCAAAAAAAAAACGATATATTTCAACAGGAAAACTCCCCCACACATTATATTTATAAGGCTGTACGTTCAAAAAGCAGGACAGTCGTTATTTAAGTGTCACTATCTCATAACAGATCGAACACAAGGTCAGCAACTAGGAAGAGGAAAATAACCAAATCTAGCGATTTGTGCAGTTTGTTGGGGGAAGGGCAATCCAAAGAGACTACAGAACATTCGACTCTTCGATGATGATACATTCTTCTTCGGGAGCGAATTCAGTCTTAGCCAATGATCTGGCTTCAGCACAGAACAAGGTCCAACTTTTATATCTGAGAAAATATTTTAGCTCCCTAATTTACCAAGGAGCCATGGCATGTCGCCTATCCTCTCCTGTGTCATAATTGTTAAGATGAAGTCCAGCATATTTTCGAAATCAAACTCTTAAAAAAAAAAAAATATCTGGGTTATAAAATTTAACAATAGTCGTCGTAGACTTAATATTCTTTTAAAGGAAGAGAAAAATATTCATAAATATATCATGGAACAAATATGGACGGTTGTTATAGATACCGGACGCATAGTCCTAATGTGGTTGACGGTATCTTGTACGAAAGGTATCAACTATTTTTCCCTCTGAAGGATTTTCAAATGAAAATCATGAGGAAGAAGGACCTCTGGATAAATTTACGTTTGAACCTTGCTTAGAGGAAAAGATACAAACAACGGAATGTATCCAGATATTTGTGACAGATATTCGAATATGTCTTTACCTTCCTTCTTTGAAAAAGAGGGGGGGGGGTGATACATGAGGCACGAGCGGCCAATTCATTAGGTACCCTCCAGTTTGCTGCCTTGCCAGCCTCCTACCATAAAATAGGCGCCAACCAACTTAACGTTAACTCCAAGTCATTAAAAGTAATCAACTTAGCTGACCAGCTAATAATATAATAACTCAAATATGTATATAATAATAAAATAGCTAATATCCTAGATTTTCATAGCTAATATGTAGTGTGTGTGTGTATATATATATAAAGAAAAAAAAAAAAAACGTCTCCTATTTTTCTCTATTTTGGCTAAATAAATTTCTCTATTTTGGCTAAAGCTATTCTAATGGAAATGTAAGTTTTATTCTAAATCTTAAGAACACGTAACTGTGTCTCATTTCAAAAGGAGGTCCTTATGATAACGGCTGTTAAATGCTAATTTGTTTATG